GAGAGAGAGAGAGAGAGAGAGAGAGAGAGAGAGAGAGAGAGAGAGAGAGAGCAGGGAATACTAGAAATTTCATACCAAGAAAAGGAGGAGAGATAAGGACAATAGAAGATGTTTAATAGGAGAGAAAGCAAATCACACCTGAGCAACCGCTAACCATCCACTGATACTGTCTTATGTACTGTTGTTTTTTTGTTTTTTAGTGCGGTTTTTTAGTGTTGTTGTCAGTCCCTGAAGCTTACATTTCGGAAAACTCGCTTGCCAGAGTGCGTATTATATCACATTGCAATAGGCCGTGCCGTGGCAGAAACGCGGAAGAGTATAAAATTGCCGATGTTGACAACCCCCATACCATCATGCTATGTTCAGCAACTCAGGTTCTCTAAGTTTTATCAAATTAAATCCTAAAGAGCCCAGCTTTTGTAACCCAAGCAAACAAAGTCAATTAGAAAAATTATATAAAGTGTTTATTTTGTGTCTTGTTCGTGTTGATTGTTGACTTACATAATGTCTAAGAATGTTACAGGGAATATGTAATGAAAAACATAAGAACGATATGAACATTTGCCGATTGTGTTTAGGTCAAGAGGTCAAAAGCCAGGAAGGGAATAAAATATCGCATCCGGTTGTGCCGTTCCCTTCCGCGTTGGTGCATTGTGGGGCACAAGTTCAGTGTCAACAAAACTTCTTCGCGACAGAGCAGCTATGTCAGGGTTCTTCAGTTAGGAGAAAGTACTTTCATTAAGTTATTCTCAAGTTAAACATGATGCTTTATATTAATGTCGGCCATAGAGAATGGCTCCGACTTCATTAATAATCCCTTCGGTCGTGGATCGGTGTCGTCTTCGCTTGGTGAGGGATTCAGTGGAGGAACTTTTCAACGTTAGCACCTCCACCATCAGCAGTGCTGTTCCACTCCTAGACGAAGACGAACCCAAGCGATATTATGATTCAGAGTCAGAAGTTGAGCAATTCATAACTGGTCAGACAGTTGGAGTTCAGAGCTTGGTTGTTGAAGGCAACTCCCTCATTACAGAGGTTGACAAAAGTGAACGACGAAATTGTGAACATGTCGCGACAGTGCCCAATTCTGACATCAGTGACAGTAGTGTCACTCAAGGCCAGGAAGATCCCGTCTCTACCCTTTGTTTTCAAACGGATGGACCACAGGAAAACATTGAAAAGGCGCAAGTACGAGCTCCTGTGGCTGATCCTCTGAATGATCACTCATAGTTTTTCTCGTGATAGTTTTGTGCTATCGGATAGTGTGAAGAACTGCACAATTGACTCTATTGGCCTTTTTTCCCCTTAGTCTAACTTAGTAGACTAGACTAAGATCTAGTTATAAATCTGAATTCAGATTGCTGTATCATTGTGATTGTTACACATCGTGGGTGTAGCATTTACTGCAGAGACTTCACTCATTACTCTGTGACCGTTGCATTTTTAAACTTTGTGGGTTTTGAATTTAAACTGAAAAGCTTTTTAAATCGCATTGCCTTGAATGATCCGCAGAGCCTTCCCAATAGTTTTTCTTGATCTTTTTTTAAATTAAATATTTTTTTTAAATTAGGCCTTCTTTATTTTTGAATGATTTACTTTACTTTAATTTATAGATCTATATTGACTCTGTATCATCTTGTAAATTCATGAGCATGATTGTCTATCAACTGAAACTTACACTTAACATCTCTTTTTCAAATAACTTAGGTCAGCTCTATTTCTCCGAATGCTCGGGAAAATAAACTTGAACTCTATTTCTTCGAACGGTTTCCGTTCTCAAGATTTGTTGATAATTTGCAAATGGAGTGGCCCGTATGTGTGTGTGAGTGTGCGTGTATGTGAGTGTGGAAGTGTGTTTATGGTGTGAACGGGGCGTGAAGGGATTTTTTTTTGGGGGGGGGTATTTACATCATGAAGGATTTTAGTTTTTGCTTTAGGGGTAACTAAAGGAAAAATAGGCTACTGCCAAGGTCAAGCTGTCTTGTTTACTCGCAGTACCTTTTGAAGGCATTTTCATGAAGTATAGTATAGTCCAGGAACGTTGCCCCCACTACAACTGAAGTATCTGAATTCAGACATTTAAAAATCTCTAGCATCATGTTTTTCTCTTGGTTTGTTTAGAATTTATCAAAGAGCTGCCCCTGCTTCTGGCTGTTGTTAGGTGTACAGATGCCAAGTTGCTCAATTACCTCCTTGTGAAAGAGGGGGCTCAGATGCTGCTTAAATTACTGAGTGGCTGATCTTCTTTGTTGACTATATAATGAAAAACTGGCCGCTATCCCAACTAGATTTGAGCATTTATATCCTGTAAGTCTGTAACTAATTATTTTACGGGTTCCTGTTCCTGTTACTTTTTTCTGATTAAAAAAAAGATGATATTATGTGTGGAGGTAATATTTATTATCATTTGAAGCTGACTTGATAAGTTGGATCTAATTTCTGTTCCTCAGACCTTTGCAAGGGCTCACTTACTTCTGAACAAGGAAGACTACATCATCAGGTCACAGTGTTTGAGCAGTAAACAAGAGTTTGAAATGGTACAGCAGTGCTCCAGAGACCTACAAACCTCAACTCTGGCTTTGCTTACTTTTTCCCCTGAGAAATTCGAAGTCTCTTATCAGGGCTCAGAGGACAGCGTGAAAGATGCTGAATCGCACGTGGAATGTATCTTGTCTAAATTGAGGGGTGATGGCGAAACGATTTTAGATAAGCAGGAGCAGGAAAACATTGAAAATGAGAAGCTGAATGTACAGAGAGCCAACAGAAAGGATATAATGGCTCCAGCTGTGTCTGAGTCTTCTTCTGGTTTGTGTGAAAGAAACTCTGACGCTTCCAGAAAGAGTGTCTCTGTGATGGGTTCTGGAACAAGTGAGGACAGCACAAACGGGGAGGAGATTTCAAATAGAGACTATCATTTGGGTGTGTGTCAAGAAAACACGTCGTCTGCCCTCAGAATCTCCGACAGCTTGAAAAGTTCTGGTTCTGTGTCCGTGTCATCTTTCTCGTCAACTTGTTCTTCCGATGAGGAAAGTGGTGAGGAGGATAATGTACTCACTGACCTCCGCTACAGTAAGCAGGTGGAGCAGGCTGTCAAGTTGGGTTACTCTGAACAGCATGTGAAAAAAGCTTTATCCAAACTTGGACTAGACTGTGGGCTAGATGATCTTCTTCGGGAATTGATAACTATCGGAGCCGAAGAGAAAGATGTTGCTGTCATCTCTTCGTCTGATGGAAATCAGTGTGAAGCGGGAAAACCAGATCCTGGAGCCTTGCTGGGTTTCAGCAGCACGTCCACCAGCGGCCCGGGAGACGTGTCCGGAATATCTGCCAAAGATTCCGTTCAGAGAAATTCATCTTTTGATTACAACGACAGCAGTAACCTTCGGCAAATCATCATTGATGGAAGTAATGTAGCCATGAGGTAGGTCCACCTGTTTTAAAAGCCCAAAAATTTGAAATTTTAAAAAAATGCGGTTTCTTAATTTGTGGTTTCAGTTACATGTGCTCAAGAAATATTTTGTCAATATTCAAATTCTTTTTTGTCAAATTAAAGAAAGAAAGAAAATACATATATAAAATGATTATAATGGATGTACAATTGTTAAAATGTTAAGTAATTTTTCATGCCTTCCTCTTCAATTAGTTACAATGCAGTATAATATATATATAGTCTTAAATTATGTGAAAAAATATTCATTGAACAATTAAAATCTGAGATAACTTCTCATGCACTTTCCTCTTTTATTAGTTCTTATATAATGCAGCAAATATGAAGTGGTGTTTTTTCCTTCCTGTTCCAGTCATGGCAAGACTGTGTTTTCCTGCAAGGGCATCAAGCTTGCCGTGGACTGGTTCCGGGAGAGGGGACACAAGGACATCATCGCGTTTGTCCCACAGTGGAGGAAAGAGACGTCGCGGCCTGATGCCCCAATCACTGGTGAGTTACTTTTCATGTACTTCTTTTATGTTCTTACTTTTCTCGTGGACTTCTGGTTCATTACTTTTTCGAGACTACTTGGGCATTACTTTTCTTAAAAATGTACCTCTGGTTCCTTACTTTTTTTAGACTTCTGGTAGGTACGTTACTTTTCATACACTTTCCAGTGAGTTCCCTCTTCCAGCACCAGGTGTATACTCTTATTCTTGCAAAAACTGAAGTAAAACCTCTGTAGCTGGAGGGCACCCTCCTGTAGGTGCTTCTTCTTTTCTTTCCCCATTCTTGTTTCTGTCTGTGTGTCTGTCTGTCTGCCTGTCTGTCTGTCTGTCTGCATGCCTGCTTTGTTTTTCCCCAGCTGTAAATGACCGTTATTGTGTGGGTGTGCTACTCTAATAACAAAACGGTTGTCCGTCCTTTTCCCCCAGACCAAGAAATCCTGACGGAGCTGGAGAAGGAGAGGGTGGTGGTGTTCACCCCGTCGCGGCGCATCAAGGGCAAGCGAGTCGTCTGCTACGACGACCGCTACGTGCTCAAGCTCGCCCTGGACACAGAGGGCATTGTAGTCTCCAACGACATCTACCGAGACCTATGCAGCGAGAACGAGGATTTTCGCAAAGTTGTGGAGCAGAGGCTGCTCATGTACTCCTTTGCCGATGACAGGTGAGAGTCGGTGTGTGTGTGTGTGTTGTTTTCTGCTACTTTTGTTTTTTTTATCAGGTGTGAAAATGTCAAAATGACTAAGAAGTACATGCAGTAGCCCTGTTTTCTTTGTATTTGTTCATTTTTCTTTATTCATGCATAGTTGGTCGGCAGGTGCTCTGGTATGGTTTGTTCCCTCTTTCCTAATCAAGGACGTATTGTCCTTATATGTTCCCCTCTTTTCAATTTACTAATACTAAGTTTCTGTCTCTCTGTCTCGCTTCTTCTCTGCACAAAAAAAAACAGTTATTGTGTCCATGTGTGTGTCTTTCTTTACTCAAACGCAAAACTGAAAGAGTTGGACCATGTATTTTCCTGACCCCTTCATCTGATGTGTAAGGAAGCGCCGTATGTAACTCTCTCATGTGGACCTTCCATCTGGTTACAGGTTCATGCCACCGGAAGACCCGTACGGCCGAGGGGGGATAAGTCTGGACAACCTGCTGAGGAAGGTGCCCATGCAGCTGGCCTTCAAGCCCCAGGAGTGTCCCTACGGCAGGAAATGCACCTACGGGAACAAGTGCCGCTTTTTCCACCCGGAGCGAGGCTATACGCCGCAACGCTCGGTCACGGAGGCCCTCAAAGAGCAGGCGGAACACACCATGCTGGAGATCAAGGAGCGAGCGGCGGAGAAAGGACGGCGGCCCAAACAGAAACTGGTGAGGACAAAGTCGTTTGTGCCGGAGACGCGACCGCTCAACCCCTCTGCCTTTGACGGTGACGCGCAGAAACCAAAGCTGAACCACTCCAAGTCTTTGGTGGCACTGTCCCCCAAGTCAGCTGATTATTTGAACGAGCCAAGGAGAAAAATGGAGTCAGAACTTTCCGCTGCTTTTGAGAAAATGCCACTAAAGCAACGGCACTCAGCTTCTTCGATGGGATCTTCCTTTTTTTCGACACCGAAAGACCTTGGTAAGCCGCAGTCTGTTTTTGAAGATCCTGTACCTCAAGCGAACAGCCCCCGGAGCTCCCCACTGCCTGAGAGAGAGGTCGTAAAACAGTTTGGCGCAGGTGGCGCTGCTGTACCGGCCAGTTCTTCCCCCATGAAGAACGTTGTCAGCGTGTCACAGCGAGCCTCCCCCTCCCATCTGACCGTCCCAAAACACGAACAGTCGGAACCTTATCTCAGTGGTCACTTGTTAGTCGCTAAAAAGCTGTCGGATGAGGGCAAAAATGACTTCTTCTCGGAGCACGTGTCGAGCCCTTCATCCACTCGCACCTCCAGTCCCGTGGTCCCTCTTGGCAAAGGAGGGGAGCAGAGAAATCTGGGGATGAGCGACAGCCTGTCTCGGGAGAGTCTGCTGGATGCGTCTTCAGCACACCCACACGGCGCTTTCTCCAACACGACGGAGAACCTGCCCAATCTGAGCTTGTTCCACTCTGGGGAGGCGACGAGCCTGTCTCAGTCCAGTCTGCCGGGCTCATCCTCCGAGGACCGAGCCAGTCTAGAGATGTTGCAGCGTGCGGGCTCAGACATGTACCCACCTCACAGCGGCACGTTCCAGGAGGACGACAACCTCCCGGAGCTGAGTATATTCCACCGGTCCGGAGACGCCTCAGGCATGTCATCTCCCAGTTCTAGAACGTTCTCCAGCGCTGGCAACCTGCGACAGCACAATGACGAGTCCTCGAGATGCCAGGACTTCGCCACCTCCCCCAATGTCTTCTCCCCGGTCATCGACAGCGGGAATTTCAGCGGGTCTGAGACACAGCCCAGCCCGGTGACGAGCCGGCAGTCGTACTTTCAGAAGATGTCGGGCGAGCCAGGGACCTCGGAGCCCCCGAGTCTGCGGCGAGCCTTCAGCTCCACGGGAAACGTGTTCGGCTCGGCCGTGTCATCCGAGGGCCAGCATGTGTCGGGGCCGCACACTGGGAGGCTGAGCGAACACTTGACCTTGAAGCCCCAGCACAGCGTGCCACTCGGACAGAAACCGCAGCTTCGGCGACAGAGCAACCACTTTGAGTTTTCTCGGCAGAACAGTTCGTCCGACCCTCAGATTCACCAGCACTCGTACGGGGTCGGGGGTAGGGACGTGTCGGATCAGCTGCCCGTTGGTCTCTCCCCCTACCCTGGAGGCGACCGCAGCCCGGGTCCTGGCATGTTTTCGCCTCAAGCCGCTGTCGAACTTGGCAGCAACGCCCTCCCTCTTCCTCAACAGCAACAACAACAACAGTTCTATTACCCACCTCAACAGCATCTTCAACGCTCGCTCCAACCGCAGCACACAGACTCCCAGTCGCGGCGCGCGGTCCACCGGCAGTCTGTCAGCGAGGTTGTGTGGGGTGAGCCTGTGTTGGGCATGTACCCGCCCGTGTCTAGTGGGCTGCACAGAACTCCCTACCCCCTAAATTGTGTTGATGGGGGTGTGAAAACAGCTTCACTTACACCGTACCCACAGTCAACCTCGGACCTCTCCGCCTATTCACAGCAACAACACCCAGCCCGCGCTTCGTTTCCTCTGCCCATGCAGCAGTACGGCCACGCCCCCCTGCCCTCCTCCCACTTCCGTCAGCAGCTCCCCCCACACCAGTTGACACACTCCCAGCCACCATTCATGCCGCACTCAAACCCGGCCGCCCCATTTTCATTCCCCAACCCATCCCAACCTCCCCCTCCCCCTCAGACGGGATACCCACCCCCGTACCACAGCTCCAGCTCAGGGTACGCCATACCACCAGACATGTCCAGCGCCGTCTCGAGCCCGTATTTCCAACCAATGCACACGCAAGCCCCACCCCCCAACGTCATGCCCACAATCCACCCGGAGGACACACCCATCCTGCAGTGCGACCAGGAACGCTACCTCCTCTACCACCGGCTCATCCCGCTGTTTGGGGAGGCTGCTGTCAGGAAGGTCATGAACAAACACCCAAGGATTTTGAACCCGGAGGATCTGTGCCCGCTCATCATCGCGTTCAAGCAGGAAACGAGGTTGTGAGATCTGCCGAGACTTGACCTCCGACATCTTCTCAGCCCCATGTGTAGAGAGTGTGTGTGTTGACAGATCGTTAACCCTTTGGGTGACAGTAAACTACAAACTCCATATGCCTTTCTGTATCGGGAAGATCACAGCTGATTCCTGTATGACATGGCTGCAACCAGACTGTGACTGGACCTCTGAATCTGAGCATGTGGTCCAACATGTTT